GGCATTAACTCGCCACCGTGTCTTTGGCGGCGCGTACGAATCTTCTACAAGATAATTTTATTGCGACTCGAACGATAATGGACTTCTTGGAATATAGTTTAAAGTTTAAATTGTCTTATTACTAAAGAATAATACTACTACATTTGTCATAGAGATAATGGCGGTATAAGCATTTACTAAGGATTATAAAATGCTGTATTAGACTTATACCTCCTGTATATTAAAGACTGAATAATAATGCCAAACAGTTTAATCGCGGAACTGATATTTGAAAGGTCAAAGGTAGCTCAGAACGATTTCGGAGTAAATGGCGGTACGGAAGCATCATACAAGCGTCACAACGCTTACAAACAAGCGCGAAGTTCACCTACAGGAGACAAAAAAATAACGCAATTTCCGCGACCGCGACTTCTCTGTGTCGCCTCTTAATGAACTTCTGGGATGATATTTATATTCTTTATGCCGCTATTACACGATGCAAATTATGTATATAAAATATATCCACGATACAGGAGAAAATGCCATTGTTGGTATAATTTTTTTTTATTTAAAAAGTATAGAGGCAAAAACATCACCATTATTGATTCCCGTAAAAAAAACCGCAGTCATAAATATGAATGAATCCTTGACCACTTATCACCTTATTGTCGTTTGTCACTATCATTTGTATTAAAAAAGAAAGACACAAAAAATAACAATTTGTGTATTGGTACAAAATTTCTCACAGCATTAATATTGCGTTATACAGTTATTTAGATTAAAATTATACAACAACACTATCAAAATTTTTTTATCATAGTGTGAGTACTGTGTACACATACCTATGGATTACGCTTGGAGCTCGCCTTACGGCTAGACGGGATGTTGCGGATTAGATTTAAGGGGTAAAAGAACAAGAGCGAGATAAAACACCGAGTATTTGCACGGTTCAGACAAGGACACAACAATCGAAGATTTAGAGATTATGATCCATAGCGATGGGAGAATGAATGGAAAATTATTAGGGAGGGAATAAACGATGGGGACTCAGAGACCATGGTTATACAGCAGGTCGATAGATACATGTTCTTATAGATTTCACGGAAGTTAAATTATTTTAATCATAGTTCATATATTGTGAGTAAAACCTTAGTTAAAACAATTTAACAATTTAATTTCCCTATATATTACGTAGTCAAATACACACAAATAATGCATAAGACCCTAACATATATGAAGATGAAAAGATATACTCACTCTACATTTCTCTATTATCTATAAAAATAAATAAAATTGAAGTGTCTGTTAAAATAACAGCTTTCTACTAAATGCATATGAAAGTATTCGGTACTAATAAGAAAATAAAACAATTTTTAAAAAATTCGTCTGTCTGTCTGTTTGTCCCGGCTAATCTCCGAAACGACTAGACGCTTGACGGGACTTTCACTGGCAGATATACTGCTGATGTGATTTGTATTCTAAGTGGTGAGAAGCAGACCCTTTCACTGCTAAAGTCGTATTCCATATTGCTCCTTAGGGCAGCCGTAGTAACTCAAGGGCTAAGCGCTCGCCGTAAATTCCACTTAAAATTGCAATTAACAATGTAGGTTATAAGAAATAACTTAGGATACTTTTGTTTTAGAAAAAGAATTAGGGTTCCGCGCAAAAAAATTAAAACCCAAATCGTAGTATAAACTCCACGCGGGCGAAATCGCTAGGGACAGCTAGTCCTTACATAAAATATACGTCTATCAAAAGAAAGTAGCGAATATACATGCAGACATTTATAAATTATCTATATTATTTACTAATTGATACAAGCCAATTATTTTAAGTAGTGTATAGAAAGAGTTGGTCCCACCAAAAACATTAATTTGAAAAGGGGGGTCAAATTCGGCACAAACGACATTCGGGGTTATTGGCTTCGCCGATAGAAGAATTAGTATCGTAAAGATGTATAGGAATGTAACTGACATGGGGCTTGGAACCTCGAATGTCGCTTGTACGTTCATGACCCCCTTTCTTACTTTTATGTTTTTTATGTGATATCATTAATTTATGAAAAATAGTTTTTTTTTAATAAATTAAATAAATATACTTAACATATATGAACCGTGTAGTGGCGGTGTTAGAATATTCACTACCACATAGAATTGGTAGTTTTTTTGATGAGTGACTTGTTCATCAAAAACCTAGACAGGGACGTAAATCACTCAGAGAATAACAAAATTGGTACTTTGCCCACTTTAATAACTCAAGAACTAACAGGCTTTGTTCATGAAATTTAGGATTCTAGATATTAAAGGGTTCCTTAATACTTATGCAATATAAAAGTGTGTAGCAAAGTTTTAAGTTAAGGGTCCGAAAGTGGCTCGTAATGTACCTACTGCCGAGTATCTAAATCATCACTTCGTATGGATAAAGTATTCTTGGCCATTCACCTTTTAAAAAAAGACATAAGATGAAAAATTGTTAATTACTTAGCCATATTAAAATTTTACATTTGATGATTTAAAATCGAAGGTTGTCAGTAATTCCCTATTGGTTTTACCTATAGAACGGTATCATGATTGCGAACATAAAATTTTCTAAAGCTTGTAAGTATTCGTGATAATATACTGTATTGGATAAATTGTTGTAATAGATGCTCCTTTATCTCAGCTTCCTTATCTGCCCGCAATAGTTCCCTCCTGCACATAGGCCTTTTATATTATAAAAATTATATGCTGTTCTACTTGGCAGATGGGTATCGCAGTAACAGATGTCTTGTACATTTGACACTGCTTCACGTAGCAAGTATGGGATATAGAGAGATATATAGGGAGGTTACACCATCATTAATCGCAGGTCATGAGATGATTTAATCGTAGTCACCCTTAGAGACGTATATGTAAGGAAATTCTATGTAACCTTTTCTAATAGAAAAGGTAAGAAACGAGCGCACAGTCCACTTCATAGTAAGTGGATACTGTTGCTGTGACGTATCATCGATTAGGAATCAAAATGCAAATGCGTTTTCAAGTATAAATATAGTTAAGTTCACGTTTGCGGACATTTTCTTTTAAAACTGCCAAAGTTTACATGACGAATAGAAAAACGTTATTAAAAACCAGCCGATTAGATATTTCGTTATAAAAAGTATTCTCTATCAAACATCTCTAGAAGTGATCAGTGACCGGCATACTGATAAGTTAGTGTCATATTCACGTTTTAAATAGGCTCATAAAGACTCTCTCGTATCACCGAAAAGCGAGACAACTACTGGATACGAGCGACAACTTTTTTATTTAGAAGATCGATTCCAATAAAGTATGTAACGATAACGCCTCCGGTATACTAAGTCGGCATAAATTAACAGTTTTTTTTTTATCTCAGTCTTATCAGTATACATGTGAATGTATTTTTAATTACCCATCGATCGGCTGTTCGGCTCTACTAGTCAATTTGAAAATCAACAACGTGAAAGAAATCGGTAAATCAATTAAAGCATCAGATTAGCGATAGATGAGCTCTGTCTCTATACAAAAGGGCCCAGGGGACGGCGCGTGACCGGGAATAAACAGGCCTTTATAAGTGAGCGTGCAGCTTTCAGTGTTGTTGTCCACTACACGATATCACTATGAAATCGATTTAAAATTAAAGTTATTGCTCTTTATAAGTTTTTATACGACTAATTTAAAAAAAAATATGCGTTTCTTTCTGATAATAAATACCTGGACAAATGTAATATCATTTAAAAATCATCAGACAGAAGCGTCTTCCTGATAACTATCCTAATATCTATGGGGAGGCCTATGTTCATCAACCAACTTGTGATAGGCTGTAATGATTGAATATAATATTTAATATTGAATGAACTAATCATCTAATCAATTCATTTTACTAATCCCTTTTCCATATGTTTTAAAATAGATTATCATATATTTAAAAAAAAACAAAGTTACTTGCCAGTTCTTCCTTGTGAACGTTACTAGATGGACTGTTTATTCTTTAGTTAAAATTTTTGTAATACATAAATTGTATACAAAATATAAGTCAAACATTCGCTAAAAACTGATTTGTTTTCTAATAATTTCAAGAATACTATGATGGAATAAGTTTGATCAAAAAATAGAGTATGCTAGCACTGCGTTTATTCCAGTTAAAATAACAATATGGAACATTAGAAAAAAAGTATGATATTTATTCAAGCTTAAATACGTGTTTATTTATGCAAGTATACTAAGTACATATAATTAAGTGTTAAGTTTTACATATTAAAATTATACTAGGGTCTCGTTTAACAGATACTATTTTTCCGATATCATTAGTTTAATGCATTCGTTGAAAGCATCTCAATGACTTTTTTTAATTAGATGGAATTTTTCAAACCATTCGTGTTCATAAAATAATATTTTGTTTATGAAAACTTGATACTTTAATGATGCTTCAGTTAAAGATATTGACTGTCAGATGTTATAAACAAAATTTTTATTAACATATTTTATAATTCTACGAATACTTGGAAACTTGGAACATATCATGTTGCAGCCGTTTATAGTTATCTATATATCCATTCATCGAATACGGCCTATAAAAATCCACTGTTGAACTCCTCACTCATAGGGTGGATTTTCCATAGTTGCCACGATTTTTTTATAGGATAGGGTGACAAACGAGAGCACAGTCCACCTGATGGTAAGTGTTTGCTGTCACTCATAGACTTCTACATCTATCCTCGATAAAGAATCAAAATTCAGATGCGTTGTCACCCGTGAGGACTAAGATGGAATGCCTCTTTTCCAGTAAAAAGGGTCTCCGGTTCTCTACACTCACCATACGAAACACAGGCGCGTTAAGCTGCTATTTTACGCTGGTATTCTGTGAGAGCGTGGTCCTTCCCCGGTCGAGCAGACCCATTCGTGCTACAACTATACTACTAACATAGCTACAGCATGGCATAGTTATTCCACGTCTATGTATTGTAATGAACGTAGAATTAGAAGCTCATTATAGACAACTTATAATCGAAAATTATTTACCTGAAATCCCTTTATTGAGTAGGTTGTTGAAAGCCTCTTTCTTGGGTGAAAGATGCGGCGTGTGCGGCGTGTGTGGCGTGTGTGGCGTGTGCGGCGTATGTGGACCACGATCGTGATGAACCGGCGCCGATGGAGGGCGCGGTACTGCACGCTCCTCTGGAGATCGGCGGGGCGGAGTCTTACTACGGCGTAGATCCGACGACAAATTCTGTAAAAATAATAATGATTACATGCCTTAGCAAACATTTAAAACAAAACTACATCGACACCGTCGAAATAATTACCAGAGACCCCTTTTTAATGGTAACAAGGTATTCTATCTTAGTTTTTAGAATAGAGGATAGATGTAGACGTCCATGGGTTACAACATCCATTTACAATCAGGTGGACTGTGTGCTCATTTGTCGCCCTTATTCTATAAAAATGCATAAGAGGGAGTGAAATTTCTTATAAAACGTCATTATTTGAGGTGTTTGTAAATACGCAGGATCTAGAAATAATAATTTTCACACGCTTTTGTGATTTGAAACGATTACAGTGCCGAAGACTTACTCACTTACTGTAGGCCTTCAAACGAACACACAACAATAGCTACAGCTTATTTCTAGCATTATATAAATTTAGGCTACGTTTACAGTAGGAAAATAAACATAGTAAAATTATAGATACTCATTTTAATTCCCATTGTGTCCCAGCAGTAATAGCCAGTAACTTTATTTTTATGCCGAATATTTTCAATCCCGTTTTATAGCAGGTTTTTATACTTTTACTTGTAAATCAATCCACATACAATTAAATAGACTAGAGTCTATTTAATTGTAAGTGGATGTTGTGGGCCATAGATATTTACATCTATCCTCGAATCAAATTCAAATTGTATGACAATATGAATCGAATCGAGGATCTGATCGTTGTCACTACTGTATATGGTACGGTATGAAATTCCATCGTAGTCAGATAAGTCAACGAAATACAGCAGCAATATTCTGCTATTTCATGTTGGTACCCTTTGAGACCCTGTAAGATAACTCTAAGTTTAGATGTCAGTTATCTTAAGCTGTTCTCTTCAAATATAGGGAATTTTGGTAAAGTAGTGAACAGATCTATTAAATAGTTAAATAACAATAAAATTACGTAACGCATCAACACAAGCAACTCTGAATCCATAGACCGTATGTATTTAATCTAAAAAAAGTTCGACCACTTAAAATAAATCGAGATTCAAATTGGACACTTGTCCATTGCGTCAGTCAATACAAACCGTTGATGAGCCACACTGATTACATTCATTGAATATTGTTGCTGGATGACGATTTGACCACATAATGGCAAATCTGTGTCCAACCGCTTAATAAGGTTAAACATGCACAAACATGCCATTTTAAACGCATTTATTTAAACGAAACGTACCCGCGTTTACGAACCCGTTTCAAATATTTATGACTGCCTCGTTATGCCAAATTAATTGGAAACAAATTTCAGTCTGTTTATGAGAGAATGATTTGAAAATAACAAAACAACAATTTTTGTTTTGTTATTTAATAAATATCATAAGTAAATATACAATACATTTTGTAGTCTATTACCCGATACGTATACAGCCACTAGACGTTTGGAAAGCCTTTTGTCAGCCTAGAGGGTTTGCGTCACGAGCTTGAAACTCGAAAGCGATTACGGCAAGTTGTTTTAACTAGAATGCCGTCCTTTGATCGATAGAAAAAAACCTAAAATAAATAGGGAAGAATCAAAGGTGGTTCCCCAAAATTAATACTTATTTGTTCAGTAAACAGTATTTTTGTGACAAATATCCGTAGTCTTATTTTTATTTATTTACCAATAGCTTGAAATACTTCAATAAGTATGTAAATAAAATAAACATATATATATATGCTTAAATGCAAAATTATACCAGTAGAGCAACATAGTTGCGTTAATAATACTTAATTAATTCAAGATGCATGGCAAACTGCCGTAATACTGTTACAGGCAAGATGCTATCGTGGGCATTTTAAAATCTCAGTATTCATTTACGTGTATATTTTATTTTATAACTTTAATCATACCCATCCTATCAATAGATTTATTGAAAAACTTCTGTGCGAGACGTTCATTAAAGTAGGTTTTTATACGATAAGGGTGACAAACGAACACACAGTTCACCTGATGGTAAGTGAATGCTGTGGCCCATAGACATCTACATTTATCTTCAATAAAGAAATAAAATGCAGATGCGTTGTCACCCCCAAGGACTGAGATGGAATGGATCGTTTCCAGTAAAAAGAATCTCCGATTCTCTACACTCACCATATGAAACACAGCAGCGTTAAGCTGCTATTTTACGCTGGTGTACTGCGAGTGCGTGGCCCTACCGGTGGCTCTACGACGTATAAGTTATAATAAATTTAACAAAATAATATTCACATAACATTTAGTGACAAATCAAATATCGCCATTTGATTAAACGTAATTGAAATAAACAATTGAAGTCTAACTTATAAATAGGCCTCGCATGAATAAAAACAAAAGCATGTTCTCCTCAAACCCTAGATCAACAAGTGTATAAACAAGGAAGCTAATAACCGCACCGCGCACCGCACGTAGAGCGGTCGATTCGCGCCACAGATAGGTCTAATATCGTATTGGAATTTGTGATGCCGTTTGACCCCTGTTAACCCAGATTACGCTCCTCGGCGCCTGATTCGTCCTCGGCGGAGCTTGATTGTGTTGTGACACAAACTGTAATGTATTATGTGTTAACTCTTGCTGCAATCACGGCTAGCGCGTACGACAATTACAATGGATACGTTCGCCGAACTTACAATTTATACGAACCGATTTGTGTCCCAGAATCTCGTTTACACTTCACACTTAAGTGTCTTGCTTTTAATAGATGCCTAAATCAGCAAATGCCCTGATAGAGGGCATCGTAAGTTTTATGATCAGTACTTATACAACTTATAGGTTTTACTTTTACTGAGCCACCAAATATATTTATGCAGAAACTGAAAATATGTTTTATCCAAAAATAATATTTTTTGCAAAACAATGAAAACATAGATAACCTAATTGGAATTCTCATCATAGTACGAAAATATTATGTAAATAGTAAAAGCATATTTTGATACGAAATGGTATATGGAAATAAAAACCTTATAGTGTGGTAGGTAAGGGGGTACCTACTGCCTACCGAGACGGACTTCTGTTAAGATGTAATTCTTCGCAGACTGTAACCTGTTATTGTTATCTTATCTGTTTGACTTTAAGTGTATTCATGAAATGCTCGGTAACTTATTCTAATTAATGCACCAAATGAGATGGATATGCTTTCATTCTTTCTTGTGTCTAGATCATATTACGAGTACGTATATTATTGATCTCAGGCTTGGATGAAAAAAGAAGAAAGTTGTGTTAATTATTGCCTACTATTTTGGCAATCTGCGATTATAGTTCCTATATTTATAGAGTGGATAGATGTTAGTCATAAACATATTTAAAATAATAAAGACATATATTCAAAAAGATTTATTTATGAGCCATTTAATAATTGTTAATGATACGGGATTTTATTATTTTTATTTAATTATTCATCTGGTGCTGTAGTGCGTTTTAGAATTGTTTTTAATCGTTCGTAATTAACGATTTTTCATAACCCAAACTTTTTTTTCATTTTCTACATTATTTAAATTTTGAAATAGAGAAATACAACCTCTTGATTAATAACTAGGCCCAGAAATATCCGCCTTATATGAAATAAACATTTTTGATGTACATCGATGAATCGTCTGTATATTGAATAAGATAAAAGAACACGATTCGTGAAATAAATATTTATATTTGTTTAGATTGTGGGAACCAGACATATATTATGCAGATAGATAGTTCATATGGTACATACTACGGACATGAGTACGGACATCTATAAAATATAGATACGTGTTTTTATCTATTTCCATTGTAAGTTATAATGTCAGAAGAGATATTTAAAAATACACAACATTTTTAGTAAATAAAATAAAACTAATAACACAAAATGCGACTGCTCGAATAAAGCTTCGACCATGGATTATTAATATATACTTAGTTCGTTTACTCGTGTCCTTCTCAATAGCAGATCAATGTAATTACAAAAAGAAATTGAAGGGAATAGCGAACTCCAAAACTTCTCTCTTATCAGATGTATACAGGGGCTCTGGCTATATTTAATGGTTTCACACAAACAAGCACCGAAACTATGCGATAGTAACATTTACTATGGAATTACATGTTTTGTCTATCGCACCGAGCCCCGATTAATTTATGTCCCACTTATTTGTACGAGATAGCGTTTAGAAATGTCTTTTATTTGTATATTATCATGTAGGCTTATCTTTTAATTCTCCAACTGTCAACGTGTTACGAACACCAGCACAGGTTTTTCCATAGACCGTAACGCCATCTATTAAAAACAAGATCCATAAAATTTAATATGACAGAATTAAGAAAGCTGTTTAATATCCACAAAATATTTATTTCAATCAAAAATTCACTTTAATTTTGTTCTAAGAAAAAGAACGGGGCTTTCTCAGGGCAATTCACAAGGGCTCTCAGAAGTGAGATTCCGGGAGCTGGCATAGACTTATGAAGTCAAATCACGTGTCGAAATGTGAATGAAGTGAGTGGGGCGCCGCATGAAATCGCAATACACGCAAACGTAAGCTGCAGGTCTGAAACATTTGCTATAAAATAAATATATAGGTGCAACTCGTAGTGAAATAACAACTGTTTAATTTAAATCAGATGCAGTAAAACTTTATTGTATAGTTTATTTTTATCCGTGAGGTTTAAAGCTATCACGAGAGATATAGGGTCCCAGGTAAAGTTGAGATGTCCCTTTATCTTTCTTTATCTGATGTATTCATTCTTATCTAAATGATATACTGATATAAAATCTTTCATCTATTTAATAGGCGATACTTTTAACTGTTTAACTGAAATTTTAAATCTGAGATTTAAAGAAGTATAAGATAAAAGACACAGGGCTCAGTAGATTGATAAATACTACACGCGAGATGATGCAATCTTATTACATTTTGTCACATAAGATAGGAGATAGGCATATGATAAACCTTATTAATAATTTAGATATTACATTTTAAAGTGAATGGAGCATTTTTAAAGTAACATATCAATGAGACTAATAATGTGGAAACGGATTAAATATGTATTTTT